TCCTCACCCCTCCAGCCAGGCTATTGCTCTCACCTTAGTCCCAAGTGCCGCCCTCACTGGGGCCACACCCTTGCTACAAGGTCATTGGAAGCTCTCCTCGGTGAAGCTACTGTGCTCCACACAGTAAGGAAGCCAGAGAGAGGCTGCCAGTGGGGAGCAGGGAAGCAGGGCCTGGAGAGGGCGAGGCGCTCCTCTGGGCCGCTCCGGGTGGAAGCCCCGCACCTGCAGAGTTCCTTCAGTCTCCTTCAGGTTCCTTTCTCACCCGTCACACTTCCGGTCCACACAGGTCCCTCGCCTCATCCCTTGTATCTCCAAAAGCAAGACTAATCCTCGGAAACAATGAGAGGGTGACACTGATGAAGTAAATATGTTAATAGAATAATGTCACTAGAATAATGCTGCAGAGTGGGAGACTCCAGCAAGAAGGAGGAAGAACCAGCCTGAGAAGACTTTACCTCAACTTTTATTTTGAACGCCAGAGAAAATATAAAGAAATAGCTTATTTATCTTCAAATTAAGAGGTACATACATCAAGAATATTCAATAACTGGTGATTCAACCACAGAAATTTAAGGACACGATTTATACAGAGTTAAAAAGAAAAGAAAGCCCACATCATTTTGGGCTGTTAGTCCCCAGTTCCCTTTGATTATCTAAAATACTTTAAAACCTACACATAGAAGTAACTTTCAGAAATTGTATTTTTCAAATAAGAACAAGTCAGATGGTGCCTATTGGTTTTTCTCTTCTACCAATTGCACACTTAACTTAATTTTTGTTTCCTAGACACAAAATGTTTTCCTTCCTTAGTCCGTAAAGGTACACTTTATTTCTTTTGCATCTCCATTTAAGGCTTCTATTTCTTGAACTGTCTAATAAAACATTCTTCTAATACTAAGAAGAAAACACTGAATGAATGTCCTCCCATTAATCTAACATATTCTATTTTTAGGAAATCATTGAAAAAGAAATCAGGTTATTTAGAGGTAAACCCTCTATTTTCACTGATTCAGGATGTGAATGATGACTTCCTTTATTGCCTACTGGGTAACAATTCCCTTTCCTTCTGAGAAATCTATGCAGTAATCTCTTCAGGGAGCTTCTGGGTCCCAGACCCCTAACTACTGTGAAATATTGAAATTACAGTGGGAATTCCATTTGGGAGCCAGATTATAGCAAGAAATTGGAATGGAATCCCTAAGACCGATCCTATTTATGAACTATAATCAGTTAGCCTCAGACTCAACAAAAGGAAGATATAGAAAGGTTATCTATAGGCACCTGCCTGAGAGTATATCTGTACGGCAGTCCCTCAAAGCTCCTTTGCTGCACCTTTTGAAATACTCATGTTACAATCTGTTTGCCATAAAGTTCTCTGACCAAAAGCAACAATAACAACAACCACAAAAACCCAAAACTAAATATGATAACGAGCTTCCCATGATAACCAGCTTCTGATTTAAAACACTGCCTTAGGGGCGCCTGGGTGGATCAGTTGGTTGAGCATCCAACTCTTGATTTGGGCTCAAGTCACAATCTCGGGGTCGTGGGAGCAAGCCGCCTGTCAGCTCCGTGCTCATCGGGGAGTCTGCTCGAGATTCTCTCTCTCCCTCTGTCCCTTCCCCCCACCCACTCTCTCTTTCAAACAAATAAATAAATCTTAAAAATAAAAAAACTGCCTTAGTTTCTTCTCTCAACATATATTAAACAATAGTCCTAAGGTGACCCTATTTGGAAAACCAAAATCCAGATATTAAGGAAATCATTTTAATATACTAACTCAGAATCATTCTAAGCAGGACAATAGTTTTCTTTCTCCATTTATTTTTCTATCATTTTCTTTCCTTTTTGTCTCTAATAGTGTCGCCATTTTAAGAACCAAATTAAACATAACCATGGGAGAGCCTCTTCCTATTTCCATTTTGAATTTCTTCTTCAGTGCTCTTTTAAGAAATATTTAGTGACGCTGTTATGGTCAGTGGTGAACATGGGCTTTGGAGTCAGATTTAGACTCAAATTCTGGTTCCACCATTAACATAACTTTGGGTATCCTCTCTAAGTTACATTTTCTTCCTCTTTTTAACAGGGAAAGTAATACCTACCCTATGGGTAGCTGTAATCAAAATGAGATAATGTATCTGAAGCATACTGCACCAAGCCAGACACACAGTAAGTACTCAGTAAGTGGTAGCTATTGTTTTATACATACACACACATTGAAAAATCTGGAAAGCAAAGAAAATATATCCTTAATTCTATCACCCTAGTAACACAAACATGTATTTCTTTGTAATTTATGTCCACATAAAAACTTATTTTATATTATTATAATTGCAATATATAATTTTATCTCTTTTTACATTACAATCATGTTTCCATATTACCATGTAAGAGTCATAATTACCTTTTTAATTTGCCAAGTGAAATTCCATTAAGTAAAAACTACCATAATTTAACCACTACATTCCTGCCAAATATTTGAGGGTTTTTGATATTACTAATATTACTACAATAACATTTACATGAATATAACTTTTTCATTCTGTGGAATTCTTCCCTTAGGATGAATTCCCAAAGCAGGTTTTTTAGAGTAACCATGAATTCTTTCATGACTTAGATTAGTTTTGCCAAACTGCTTACCACAAGTTTAAACAATTTGTAGTGCCCCCACCAACGGCCATAAACATCATGTCCTCTCCAACCTTCAGTATTAATACTAATATCTTGTATTTATTGAATATTTACCATATGCCAAGTACTTGTCTAAGTGCTTTGCATATATTATCTCATTGTGCTCACAATAAATCTCTGAAACACCTACTTTTAGGTACCATCTTTTGCAGATGAGGAAGTTAAGGTTCAGGAAGTTTAAAAGCCATGTCCAAGGTTATACAGAAACTAAATGGTAGAACTTGGACTCAAACTCAGATTCTGTCTAATGCCACAGTGCTCTTAAGCATTTGGCTATATTTCCGCTTTACTCTTTTTTCCCCCTAAATAATAATAAGTGGGGAAAGACATTTTCACTGATGTTTTAATACGCAGTTCTTTGATTACTAGCAAAGTTGATCATTTTTACATAGTTTGTTTTAAAACTGTATTTTCTTGTTGTATTATTTGTTCGGATTATTTAGCAACTTCTGTAAAGTGGTGGGGGCAATTTTGTTCCCTCTATATTCTTTACCAATCAGGTGTGTCAGCACAAACTTCACACAAGAGGTCCATGTCCTTCTTGATGAATTCATTGAGCTGTCAGTTTATAAGAGGAGGTACTACTCTTTCCCCTCCCTCTTGCCCAATATGGGCTCAATACAAATATATTCTAGAAAGTTATCATGTCCATATCTCTTCAACATTATTCATTCATGTGATATGTCTCCTGCTTGGTTTAGAATACCCCTATCATGAGAGAAAGTAAAGACCCAATATCCCCTGAAGCGTGAAAAACTAAAATTTTTTCACTGAACCAATTTACCAACATCTTTGAGAATCCATCAGTATCTCACTTTCCTCATTCCCCACTACCATCTCTTTCTATCTTCAAATTTCTCTTCTACTAACTAGAAAAAGGACTGAAATGTGCAGGGTTTTTTTTTCTTTTCAAATTTTTATTTAAATTTTAGTTAACATATAGTGTAATACTGGTTTCAGGAGTAGAATTTAGTGATTCATCATTTACACGTAACACCCAGTGCTAATCACAAAGAGTACCCTCCTTAATACCCATCATCCATTTAGTCCATCCCCTGCCCACCTCCCCTCCAGCAACCCTCTGTTCTCTATAGTTAAGAGTCTCTTATGGTTTGCTTCCTTCCCTCTTTTTTTTCCCCCTTCCTCTATATTTATGTTTTGTTCCTTAAATTCTACATATAAGCGAAATCATATGGTATTTGTTTTTCTCTGACTGACTTATTTTGCTTAGCATAATACTCTCTAGCTCCATCCACATCATTACAAATGGCAAAATTTCTTCATTCTTTTTGATGGCTGAGTAATATTCCATTATATATGTATATATTATATATGTATATAATATATATTAATAGATTTGTATTTTATTTATTTATAGATTTTATTTAAATTCAAGTTAGTTAACATATAGTGTATTATTAGTTTCAGGGGTAAAATTTAGTGATTCATCAGTTGTATATAATACCTAGTGCTCATTACATTAAGTGCCCTCCTTAATGCCCATTGCCCAGTTACCCCTTCCCCCCACCCACCTCTCCTCCAGCAATATACCAAATCTTCTTTATCCATTCATCAGTTGATGGATATTTGGGCTCTTTCTTTCCATAATTTGGCTATTGTTAATAATGCTGCTATAAACACTGGGGTACATGTGCCCCTTCAAATCAGTATTTTTGTATCCTTTGGGTAAATACTTAGTAGTGAAATTGCTGGGTTATAGGGTAGCTCTATTTTTAACTTCTTGAGGACCCTCCATACTGTTTTCCACAGTGGCTGCACCAGCTTGCATTCCCACCAACACTGTAAGAGGGTTCCCCTTTCTCCACATCCTCGTCAACATCTGTTGTTTCCTATGTTGTTAATTTTAGCCATTCTGATATTAAGATATCTGAGATATCTGATATCTCATCATGGTTTTGATTTGTATTTCCCTGATGATGAGTGATGTTGAGTATCTTTTCATGTGTCTGTTAGCCATCTGGATATCTTCTTTGGAAAAATGTCTATTCATGTCTTCTGCCCATTTCTTAACTGGATTGTTTTTTGGGGTGGTAAGTTTGATAAGTTCTTTATAGATTTGGGATACTAACCCTTTATCAGATATGTCATTTGCAAGTATCTTCTCCCAAGACTGAAATGTGTAGGTTTTTGTGAATTTGTGATCCAAATAACTTGGCCATCATTCAAAACCTATCTCCCATAATGTATGGAAACATCATTAAAACTGCATCTATAGTTCACTAAGCAAAACCAGATTTACCTAATAAATCTAAATTTTAATAATCCTGTTTTCAGATATGCTCCATTACCTGCATTATGTCTTGCAATATATCCAAGTGCCCAAGCTGCAGCCTCCTTGACTCCGGGGTCAAAATCTTCCAAGCATATCACCAGCGTATCCAGTGCTCCACAGTCAACTATTGCCTGAGCTAGTTGAGGAGAATGTTTACCAACTGCTCGTAACACAAAGGCAGCTGCTTTCTTGTAAAAACGCTACAATTATAAAATAGATAAAACTCAAAGTGAATTAAGCACTTATAAAACCAAAAGTTAAAACAGACCAAAACCAACATAAAAATGACATTAATATAAAGCTCAACAGCTTTCAAATCCAAAGATGAAAAACATCCTGCAAAATCATTTTTTGATGTTCCCCTATTGCTTTTGTTCAGTAACCAAACTGAAATAATGTAAGTCTTAAATTACATTTCAAATGTTTTATTCTGAAATATTCATTTGGAAACTCTATAAAAAATATAAACATTGTATTTCCTACCAATTCATAAAATAATGAGATTTTCTGTATCTGCATCACACTGAAAAGTATTTGTTTCACCCATGGGAACTCTTAGATTGTTAGCATGTGCAACAACACTGTCCACTGACAAATTCATTTCCTTTACTTGCCCTCAGTCTCTAAGCATGGTAGGCTTTTCATGACCTCAACTAATCTTTTGGTGTCCCAAGTTATCCTGAAATAACAACCATGTTTCAAGATGCACTACCAATTGTTGGATAAGCATAAAGGCGAAACACTCATGATACATTTTAAAACCTTTCCTGGTAAATAAACTAACCAAACAAGGAGATGTATTATTTATCCCCTCTTAGAAATGCTTTTTAAAAACAATAAATACAAATGACTTACTGTTAGGTGAATTTTAAGTAATGCTTCATATTTATAAAAATTTCTATATAAAATTTTATCAGATTGAGAAATAATAAAACTGAAACACAAGACTAACATGTTTTTCTTCATATAACTAAAAAAAATTAAATGTATAGGAAGTATTTGGCTATAACATTCACTGTTGTTTCAAGGTTAGTATAATGACACCAGTAATGGTCTCTGTCTTTTATTAATAGAATCCAATTAACCCCCTATTGTAGATTCCAAATTTTTATTTCTTTACACTGATGACTAAAAGTGACTAGGTGACTACAGCACCTGTTTTGAAAGCATGTCATTTACTTTGGCCAAAAGATTAAGATACAACAAAAATTATAGGAGAGGGGAAAAATACATCAAGTATATTTTAACATATTATATCTCAAAAATTGGTATATGTTGATGATATAAGAAATATGCTGTGTTAATAATGATGTTTTGATTTGATGCATTTCTTTAGTTTCTTAAATGTTAACATATATAGATACTAAAATATTTGTTATAAAGGTTAATTTTATGTCAGTAACCAAATATCTACTAACTTACTATAAAATTTAGAGTTTTAAAGTAGCTTTCCATTATTTTCTTATAATCATGGAAAAATAATGGTGATACATTTCCTGTTATCACCTTAAGCTAAGGTAACTTTTTATATGGCAGAATTTTCAAATTCACAATTTACTGGCCATTGATAGTCACTGCTAACTACAGTGCCTATGATTCACACCTTCTGATCTCATTTCCCTTTTCTCCTAATTTCCGCTTTTCCAAATTCCTCTCTCTTCTCTCCCATTCTTCACCAAAAGAATTGCCTTAAAAAAAAAAAAAGTCCATGCCAGGGACTTTGTACCTCATAAAGAAGACATTAAATCCTGTGAGAAATGAGTTAAAGGACTGTTGGTGAAGGACACAGAAGCCTGGGAATCCTGCCTCAGATTCTCACTTTCTCCTCACTTCTGCCCTAGCACTTTTTTGTCTCTTTACAACTAATGGACACTCATTCACATTTAGATCTATTGAGAACCTTCTTTGTGGGATACCAGAACACAGACCCTGCCCTTGAAAGAAGGAGTTAAGAGTCCAGGAAGAACAAAGTCTAACAGTATTTGACTATAGAAGGAACACCTGCAAGAAAAATAAAATTTCTGAGATTCCTCGTAGAGATAAGACAGTCAGTAAATGACTCTCCAATCTATAAAAATAAAGCAAAATTTTAAACAATTAGGATTTATTTTTTTTTATTCTGGTAAAATACACATATTTACTATTTTACCCATTTTAAAGTGTACAACTCAGTGGCATTTAGCACATTCATGGTGTTGTACAAACATCACCATCCAGTTCCAGAATATTCTCAGCAGCCCAACAAGAAACCTCATACATGTTAAGGAGTCACTCTTTGTTCCCCTCTGCCCCCAGCCCCTGGCAACCACTAATCTGCTTCTGTCTCTATGGATTTGCATATTCTGGACATTTCCTGTAAGTGGAATCATATAACATGTTGCCTTTTGTATCTAGCTTCTTTTTTTAGCGTAACGTTTTCAAGGTTTATCCATGTTGTAGCATGTGTCAGCACTTCATCCCTTTTTATGACTGATAATATTCCATTATATGGATGTCCAACATATTGTTTATCCAGTCATTCTTTTGTTATAGTGAATAATGCTGCTATAAACATTTGTGTACAAGTTTTGTTTGAACACCTGTTTTCAATTTTTTTTGGAAATCTAACTAGGAGTAGAATTGCTGGGTCATGTGGTAATTATATTTAACTTGACTGCCAGACTGTTTTCTATAGCAGCTGCACCATTTTACACTCCTATCAGCAATGTATGAGGGCTCCAATTTCTCCAAATCTTCACTAACACTTGTTATTTTTTTCTTTTCCTTTCTTTTTTTTTTTATCATGGCATCCTAGTAGGTTAAGTGATATCTTGCTGTGGTTCTGATTTGCATTTCCTAATGGCTTATGCTGTTGAACATCTTTTCATCTTCATTGGCCATGTGTATATCTTCTTAGTATGTGTATAGATGTCTATTCAAGTCTTTTGCCCATTTTTAAATTGGATCGTTTGTCATTTGGTTACACAAGTAGGAATTTAATCTTAAAAATATGTCAAGAAACATATATCCTAGGTTATGATAAACTAACAGAATGGAATAAACAGACCAAGACCCTATCTACAGGGAGGTCCTTAACTATTGTTAGGTGATACTGTACAGAAACAGAGAGTAGAACCAGACAGGAGGGGGAAAAAATTGGGGCACTCTTAGATGACCCTTAAAAGAACTGACATGTTTACATACTTGGTATAAACTGCTTTATCAAACCTTCTATTACATGTATTCTCCTTCCTTTTGTATGCTTCTCTCCCACTTGCTTCCAAGCTGTCTCTTACAGTTTCCACTAACCAGATTTCACCTGCATATAAGGATTGCGGAAAACAACTTTTTATTTGCCTAAGGCTCCATACAGCTCTCAAAGACTGATCCCACAGGTTTAAGACTCTCATATACAGAAATACTGCTTTATATATAATCCCATTAAAATTGTGTAATCTTTTTTCTTATATTAACAGTAATGGAAAAAAAGCTGCCTATCACTCCCAAAGTAAAATACCCTAAAGGTATTATTATGTGCAGTTTAAAGAATTAAAAGTTGTATTAACATCCTAAGATTCTAAAGCCTATAAGCTTACAACTGTACCCAAACTAAGCAGATTTTTAAAAATCTAAAACAAGACAAAAAAAACATAACTAATTTTTTAAAAATCTTACATTCTGTTCTGCCAATGAATAAACAAGCTGTGGAAGAATGTCACCCTTCACCACTGCTTCTGCTAGTTCATCATTATAATTAGCCAGTCTCCCAAGAGCCAATGCAGCAGTCTGTTGAATTGTTGGGACCACATCCAGAAGAAGAGGCCTCAGCAAAGACATTACACCTGAGTTTAGTTATGAAAGAACAGAAGTCAGCAAAATTTAAATGAAAAAGCAAATATACAATTCAGCATATATGTAGATAAGAAAATTGTAGGAAAAAATTGGTAAAAACAAAAAAAAATTATCCACTAAAAACTAGTGGTATATTTAGAAGCATCTAACTGGCCAAGACAAAGAATGATACAACCTGTAATTATCAAAGCAGGAGCAAAGCATGACAAGAAAGGCTTTGGACTTAGGTTAAGAGTTTAAATCCCTGATTTGGCAAATAGTAGTTATGTGACCTGATAGGGCTGTCATGAGGAATGCAGAGAAAGATTGTGGAGCATGTAGTTTAATGCCTACCTAGCACATGGTAAGGGGTAGAGGGGGGCTGTGGGGGATAGGTTTCCCCCAGCCTTTGCAACTCCTATCTTTCAGGGCTCAGTTCAGGTCCTTTTATCTCTATGGATCTTCCATTTGTTTTGTTTGGTTTTTTTTTTTTTTTTTTCCTCTGATTCCAACTGTTGGATCTTTACTGTGATTTCAACTGGCTAGGGCCTCACATTCATGAAGGGATGCAAATTCAGATTTCTGATAGTATTCCAAAGAAACAAATTCTTTGAGATAAGTATTTTGTATTACTAGCTCTCATAATATTCACTCTAGGGTTGAATACATAGTAGGTATATCATCATCACAGCAACAATAGTAAAAGTTAGCTTATATTTATCCAGCACTTATTATATGCACATGTTTTTTTAAGGACTTGTTTTCCATATTAATTCACTGAGCTGTCATAACAAACCTATGAAGTTGGCCCTATTATTATGTATATTTTACAGATGAGGAAATGGAGGCTGAGAAAGGTTAAGAAATCATCACAAAACTAATAAATGATGGAGCATGGTTAGAAATTCAGACTTTCCTCATTAAAATTGCTAAATAAATAATACATATTGAAAGTTGAGGAGGTGGGGAAAGGGAGATAAAAAATAATTACATTTTAGTCATTTGCCTATTCCAACTCTTTATAGTACCTTTGCCTTATTATAAAATACCCAAAATAGTCAACTGCTATTTGGGCTTTAATGATGCTGTTTTAGTCTAAGGTTACAAGAAAGGTAATGACAGAGTTCAAACTGGAACAAAACGCCCCTTGACTTTCTAAACTTTACTTAATTTGCAGCAGGCTATTCAACTAGATGTTATTACATCTCTTCTTTAAAAACATACCACAGTGATCTAGAAAAGCAAATATTATCAATATTCTTTTATAATGTTATAACCAGAAACATTTGATATAGAATAAAAGGAAAATATTTATAATAACACTTAGGATTAGAACAAATTAAGATAAACAGTACTACCAATAACATAAGCAGAGAATAATGATGCTTATCACAGATACATGTAATGATGTGACCCGTGGCTTTTCACAGTTTCCAGTTTTATTTAGTGATCATTTTTATGGCTAGGGTGGTTTGATGAGATCATCTTACATAAGACCACAGTTGCAAGTTTGAATCCCACTCAGGCTGGTTAACTTTGCAGGCACACGGCACTTCTACTCACACCTAGGTCATAGCTCACATTCAGCAAATCAACATCTCTATACTCATAAGTGTTGCTAATATTACTATCTATACTTTTTACAGTGTGATAATTTCTGAAATACCTCACAACAAAAAGTTTAAAGTGCATGATAAGGTATTAGAATGACTACCAAATGTTAACATGGGTTCTTCCTAGAAAGTTGGATTTAGAACAATTTGTTGATCTCTTCTTTGTAGTTGCTTTATTACCTGATTTCTTTTTTTAGTTTTTTAATTGTGGTAAAATACATGTAACATAAAAATTACCATTTTAACCATTTTTTAGTGTACAATTTAGTGTAATTATCACCACTATCTAGGAACTGCGGAATTGTTTTCCACAAAAGCTGCGCCATTTTACATTCCTACCAGCAAAGTACAAGGATTCAAATTTCTCCACATCCTAACCAACACTTGTTATTTTTTGTTTTTTAATTTTAATAATGGCCACCCTAATAGGTGTGAAGTAGTATCTCATTGTGGTTTTGATTTTCATTTCCCTAGTGCTCATGTCAGTGAATGTCTTTTTATGTGCCTATATTGGCCATTTGTACATGTTCTTTGTTGAAATGTCTATTCAAGTCCTCTTTTGAAATATAATTGGAAAATCAATCTATTCTGGGTTATTCATCCTGGTATTTTGAATTCAATCTCAAAAACTTTGAACTTCTGTGTTAAGAAGTTGAAGAATGAATTCATCTGAGTCTGTAATGTTTAATTTAGTTATAAGTGTTTATTATTAGTTACAGTATTTAGCTAATATACCATAAGTCTCCCAATTTTGGAAAATTTCAATTTGCAGTTTTAGCAGTAAAATATTTTACCCCCCTACAGGTATTTCACCTGTCCATATATTCAAAGGAATTTTTTGCTTTATATATTTTCTCCTCCATTTTTCTACACATCTGGCCTAGGAAAAATAAGATCAATAAGATGACACACCATTCCTTTCCCTCTATCCCTGTATTTAATATCAAAGTTAGGCCTCTATGCAGATGCCTCTGTTCTATCATTCTTTTCCTACATTCCTTAGTTCAGACAGTAGCACAATAAGACTTTTGAAAAATTTAACACCTCTGAACCTATAAAAGTAAAAGCTAAAGTTTCAGTTCAATATATCTTTGTTTGGGGGCACCTGGGTGGCTCACTCAGTTAAGCCTCTGACTCTTGATGTGTCAGGCTCCATGCTCAGCAGGGAGTCGGCTTCTTCCCCCACCCCTGCTCAAGCTCTCTCTCTCTCTCAAATAAATAAATCTTTTAAAAAATATATCTTTGTTTGAATAAGGTCATCTTTATTAGAGAAAATATTGCCCAAATGTCTAGTCCTTGAATTGCCTCTAAGTGCTTCATAATTATCAGTCCCCAGGGACATGTTTTTTTTATCTCTTACACAGATTAAGCATGGAGACCTTGTTATTCTAATTACAAGTCTGTCCTAAAAATACAGATAACGATACAAGAGGAATGAAGGAAGGAAGGAAGGAAGATAACACGCAAGGGAGCAAGGGTGGGAGAAAGGAGAAAAGAAGCATATATAACATAAAAAGAAATTTTTCCTTACTGCCTGTCCATTAGGTATCCATGGTGTCTGATCCTTGGTGAATGAATGCATGAAAATTTAGAGTCCATAAATTACAGCACTTTGAATAGTGGCTACTACAATAGCGGATAAGCAAGGTCTCTAGTGACAGCTAATGACCTCAGTAAGGTCTCTACTGAAGGAGCCCACAGGTACTAATATTTAAAATAATAATTCACATATTATACTCTAATATCTATAAAACAATTGTTTCCTCTATAAAAACTGATCAAATGGTGTGAAAGTCTTTCTGAAACTTCTAGATAAATCTTTACAATCTCTCCCCTCCCAACTTTATAGCTCTGAGTTTCTTTTCTGTTTTTCTTGTTCTAGTTCCATACTGGAGACATTGTTTGTAATATCTACATTTCAATCCAGTTATGAAAAAAACAGCAACAAAAACAACTTTGCTGATCCTGCCTCCAGGCATTCATTCAAAAAATAGATCAGAGTTTATCAACTGGCAAGCATTAGGATTACATACCTGAGCAAAGGCAGTTCCTTCTCTCAAGAAACTAATAATCTAGTGGAGGAGATTATAAAATAGCCTCCAAATAATCACAACTCTTTAATTTCTTTTAACACAACATAGGCCTAATTACTTTGATTGTACACACCAATTACAGATATAAATCAGGAAGGAAATATCAAACATTTCCAAGACCCAAAAAATCCCCTTCTCGTATTACATGTATATAGTTTATATACATATTACCTCAATCTGCTGTGCTTTATAAAGATAGTTAACATCTCAACTTTGTTTCTTTAAAAACAAGTACCTGCAAACTGGGTCTTTGGGTCCACATAAGTCCTAGTAAAGATTTCTGCTTACCCTGGTTACTTCTCACCTTCGTTTTTTAATCTTTAAAAATTTTATTTTTTTATTGTGGTAAAATATACATAAGAAAATTGAACATTTTAACCATTTTTAAATGTACAATTAGGTATGCATTAAGTACAATTGTGCAACCATCACCACTATCATTTCCAGAACTTTTCATCGTCCCCTAACAAACACTCTATAATTCCCCCTTTCCTCCTTTTCTACCATATATTTTAGAATTACTATGGACTGAATAATTATTCACCATTCAAGAAATATCTATTAAGAATATACAAGGTATTGAAAACCCAATCATCCTTGACATCAAGGAACTTATAAAGGGGTCAAGAGAAATAAACAAATGCAACACATTATGATATATGCAACTAAAAGAGAAGCAGAGGGTGCTTTGCAAATATACAGTGGAGCATCCAACCTAGGCCTTGAGGGACACAAGGAAGACAACCCCAGGAAAGGGACATCTAAGTGGAGATTTGAAGGCTTTCAGGCAGATCACAGATCGTCTGAATAATTGGAGGGAATGGAGAAGGGAAGGACTGGACAGTTTTCCAACCAGGAGGAACTGTATAAATGAAGCTCAGAACCAAGAGTTTGATATGTTGACAAAACTGAGAATGCAGTATGACCATCGTACAAGAGGGGAGCAAAGAGTTGGGAAAGAAGGCTAAGAGATTAACAGAGACAAAAGTACTGAAGAGCCCAATAAATTATCTTAAGTATTTTGAATTTAATCTGAACATTAACATCAGTGTTTCTGTACTTTGTAAAGAAGGATCACTGATTACACTGGGGAGAAAGGATGAAAAGAGACAACATGGGAGGCAGGAAGACCACTTAGGAGGCTATTGTATGAATATAGGCCAGATGTGAAGATAGCCTGGAGAATACTAATGGCAAAGGGAAAGAGAAAAGTGAAAGGTCTAGATATTTACAAGACAAACTGATTATTGTGAAGAAGAGGGAGGAATTAGTGATACTTCCAAGTTTCTGGCTTAGACAAAAGAT